AGCTTGGAGAGGGCCCCAGTCGGCCACACGCCTGCCTGCCAGGCTTAGACGTCTCCAGTGAGGTTAAAATTCAGTACATGTGTTATTCTCAAGTTTTTCTTTTTACTTTTGAAGAAGCTTATTCCACTATGAATATTGACATCTGTGAAACCTTGTCTCTTTGGGCGTGCTGATGCAGTTTAGGGAATCAAAGGTAAAATGTATTATGCTGCTTTTCTTTCTGGAAGGAAAGGCGTGGTTGTTGAAAGCGACGTAGGCCTGCGCTGAAGGAATCGTTGCTAAAAACAGGGCAGAGAAGGTTGAGATGCACTCCCATCTTCCACCCCCCACTGCCCTTTATCCTGGCCACCACGCTTGCATTGGAAGGGAATGTAGGTCCATGGTCTCTTATCTGCAATTCTAAAATTCAGGTTTTAAAAAATTCAATAGATTTAGGGGTTATAAGGAGTTTTTGTTACATGGATGAATTATATAATCGTCAAGCCAGGGCTTATGGTGTACCTGTCATCCAAATAGGGCACAGTTATACATAGTACCCAGTAGATAATTTTTGATCCTTCACTTCCCTCCAAGCTTTCCCCCTTTTTAGTCTCCACTTTATATAACCACATGTACCCATCATTTAGTTCCTATTTATAAGTGAGAACATGTTATTCTGTTTTTCTGTTGTTGAGAAACTTCATTTAGGATAATGGCCTTCAGTTCCATCCACGTTGCTGTAAATGATATTTCATCATGGTATATACTATGTACACACCACATTTTCTTTATTCACTCCTCAGTAGGTGGACACTTAGGTTGATTCTATATCTTTTCTGTTATAAATTGTGCTGCAATAAACATATAAGTGCTCATGTCTTTTTTATGTAATAACTTCTTCCTTTGGGTAGATACCTAGTACTGGGATTGCTGGACCAAATGGTATGTCTACCTTTAGTTCTTTGAAAAATATCCATGCTGTTTTCCATAGAGGTTGTACAAATTAACATTCCCACCAATAGTGTCTTAAGTGTTCCCCTTTCACCATATCCATGCCAGCATCTACTGTTATTTAGATTTTTAGTAATGACCATTCTGACCAGGGAAAGGTGGGATCTCATTGTGATTTTTAACTTGTATTTCCCTGATGATTAGTGATGTGCAACATTTTTTTATTTTAATTTTTTTTTACCATTTGTATCTCTTCTTTAGAAAAATGTTTATATTTTCTGCCCACTTTTTCTTTTTTTTGAGACAGAGTCTCACTATGTCACCCTTGGTAGAGTGCTGTGACGTCACAGCTCACAGCAACCTAAAACTCTTGGGCTTAAGTGGTTCTCTTGCCTCAGCCTCCCAGTAGCTGGGACTATAGGCACCCATCACAATGCCTGGCTATTTTTTGTTACAGTTGTCATTGTTGGTTAGCTGGCCCGAGCTGGGTTCGAATCTACCAACCTGGTGTATGTGGCCAGCGCCCTACCCACTGAGCTACGGGCGCCACCCTTCTGCCCAGTTTTTAATGAGGTCATTTTTTTTTTTTCTTGCTGATTTGTTTGAGTTCTTTGTGGACTGTCTATGTGGTATTGGCCTTTTGTTGGATGTATAGTTTGCAAATATTTTTTTCCCATTCAGTAGGTCATCTGTTTACTCTGTCGATTATTTCTCATTCTGTTTAGAACTTTTTAGTTTAATTAAGTCCCATTTTGTTTTTGTTGTATTTGCTTTTGAGGTCTCAGTGATGTTCTTCAGGCCATTGTCCAGAATAGTTTTCCCTACATTTTTTTCTAGAATTTTTACGGTGTTAGGTTTTACCTATAAGTCGTCAATCCATCTTGTGTCAATTTTTGTGTTTAGTGAGACATAGGGATTCAGTTTCATTCTTCTGCTTGTGGCTCACCAGTTTTCCTAGTACCATTTGTTCAATAGGGCATCCATTCCTCAGTGTATGTTTCTGTCTGCTCTGTCAAAGATCAGTTGGTTGTAGGTGTATGATTTCACTTCCAAGTTCTCTATTCTGTCCCATTGATTATGCGCCTACTTTTATACTGGTACCATAATGTTTTCGTTACCATAAACTTGTAGTATAATATAATTTGAAGTGAGGTAATGTGATGCCTCAGGATTTCTTCTTTTTGCTTAGGATTGCTCTGGGTATTCTAGATCTTTTTTTTTTTTTTTTATGAAAGTTAGGATTATTTTTTCGAATTCTGTGAAAAATGATACTGGTGTTTGACAGGGGGTCTGTAAATCACTTTGGGCCTTATGGACATTTTAACAATGTTGATTCTTTTAGTCTGTGGGTTCTCAACCTTCCTAATGCTGTGGCCCTTTAATACAGTTCCTGTGGGTTGCAACCCACAGGTTGAGAACCACTGTAATCTAATTCATGAACATGGGGTGTTTTTTCATTTGTTTGTGTCATTAATTATTTCTTTAATTAGTGTTTTATAGTTTTCCTTTCAGGGATCTTTCACTTCCTTAGCTGAGTGCATTCCTGGGTATTTTATTTTCTTTGCAGCTATTATAAATGGTGTTGAGTTCTTGATTTGATTCTCGATTTGACTGTTATTAGTGTATAGAAATGCTACTGATTTGTACACATTAATTTTATAATCTGAGACTTTACTGAATTTATGAAGTCTAGGAGTCTTTGGGAGGAGTACTTAGGGTTTTCTCAATATAGGATCGTATCATTGTCAAATAGGGATAGTCTGACCTCCACTTTCCCAATTTGGATGCCTTTCATTTCATTCTCCTGCCTGATTGCTCTGGCTAGGACTTCTAGGACTATGTTGAATAGACATATTGACAGTGGACATTCTTGTCTTATTCCAGTTCTTGGGGGAAATGCTTTCAACTTTGTTCAATATAATGTTGGCTGAGGGTTTTTCATATATAGCTTTTATTATTTTGAGGTATGTTCTTTTTTTGCCTAGCTTGTTAAGGGTTTTTATCATAAAAGGCTGCTGGATTTTATTGAATGCTTTTTCTGAATTTATTGAGATGAACATATGCTCTTCGTTTTTGATTGTTTTTGTGTGGTGAATCACATTTATTGTCATTAAACAATCCTTGCATCCCTGGGATGACGCCTACTTGATTATGATGAATTATTTTTTTTAATGTGCTGCTGGATTTGATTTGCTAGCATTTTATTGAGGAATTCAGCATCTATGTTCAGGAGGATATTGGTTTGTTCTTTTCTTTTTTTATTATGTCCTTTCTGGCTTTGGTATCACAGTGATACTAGCTTTGTAGAATGACTTTGGGAAGATTCTCTTCTTCTTAATGTTGTGTAACAGTTTCAATAGGATAGGTACCAGTTTTTCTTTGTAGGCTTGGTAGAATTTGATTGTGAATCCATCTGATCCTGGGATTTTATTATTAGGAGACATTTTATTGCTGATTCAGTCTCGCTATTCATATCATCTGTTCAGGCTTTCTATAATATTTCTACCTAATCCAATATTGGGAGGTCATGTGTTTCCAAAAGTTTATCTGTTTTCTCTAGATTTTCCAGTTTGTATGCATAGAGGTATTCATAATAGCTGTGGCTAATCTTTTGTTTTTCTGTGGTGTCAGCTGGAATGTCTCCTTTTTCATTTCTGATTGAGCTTATTTGAATCTTCTTTTTTGATTAATTTAGATATCAGTCTATCAATTTTATTTATCTATTTGAAGAAACAATTTTTCATTTCCTTGATCCCTTATATTGCTTTTTTTCATTTCAATTTTGCTTAGATCTGCTCTGATCTTTATTTCTTACCTTCTGCTAGGTTTGGTTTGGTTTACTTTTTTTTTTAGTTGTATTTATTTGTATATCTTTATAGTGTACAAGTGATGTTTTAATACAACATAATGTGAATTAACCAAATCAGGGTAATTGGGAGTATTGATCACCTCAGGCATTTCTTTGTGTTAGGAACATTCCAATTCTACTTTTTTAGTTAAGTATACCCTAACTTATTGTTGATTATAGTCACTTTGTTTTGTCAAATATTCTTCATGCTATCGAACTATATAACTATAAATTTTGCCCCCATTTTATTGTCCCCTCCCAATACCTTTCCCAGCCTCTGGTAACCATTATTCTACTGTCTGTCTCCATGAGATTAATTGTTTTAATTGTTTAACACAAGTGAGAAAAATGCAAGATTTGTCTTTCTATACTTGGCTTATTTCACTTAACATGATGTTCTCCAGTTCCCTCCATGTTGTTATAAATGGCAGGATTTCATTTGTTTTGGAGGTAACAATATTCCCTTGTGTATAAGTATTGTGATTTCTTTATCCATTCATCCACTGATAGACACTTAGTTTGATTCCAAATCTTGGCCATTGTCAATAGTGCTGCAACAAACATGGGAGTGCAGATATGTGAGGGCTGTCTGGAAATTATCCAGCCATATAATGCGAAAAGTGGAAACGTACATGGATGGATACTTTCTGGACAGCCCTCTTATTTTCTATATACTTAACTTCCATCCTTCAGATACACACCCAGCAGTAGGATTTCTGGCTCATATGATAGTTCTATTTTAGTTTTTTGAGGAACCTCCATACTGTTCCCTATAGTGGTTGCACTCATTTACTTTCCCACCAATAGTGTATGGTCATTTCTCTTTCTCTATAACCTCACTGGCGTTTATTATTGCCTTTGCCAGTTCTGTCATCAACCTGTGGTGATTTCAGATCCCTTCCCACTGGGTCCAGGCTTCCTTTTCCTCTATGTCGATTCTCAGTGTCCCTCGGAAGGGGCAGGTTTTCTCTTTTGTGGTATTCAGCTCTATTCACTTCTTGGCTGTGGTGGTGGGCAAGAATGAGCCCCACTTAACATCTGACCTCCCCAGCTCTCTCCCTTCTCCTGAGTCAGCTGGAGGAATGTTGGTGGGCATTGGGTCCCTCTATGGCCAGTTAAGAATGATCATTCTCTTGGGGATGCTCAACAGAAGGCCTTTTTGTTATATGGTTTTGGATGTCAGTAAGCCAAGGACTACACAAATGTCTCCACTGTTTTCTAGAAAAGAAGAAGCTGAGGAAGGGCAAGCTGTCACAGGACTGGCGGGAGCGGAGGAATGCCATTCAGCTCACCAATGAGCGCACAGTGGAGACCCTGGTGGTGGCTGATGCAGACATGGTGCAGTACCATGGGGCAGAGGCCGCCCAGAGGTTCATCCTTACTGTCATGAACATGGTGAGTCTGGGGTTGGGGTCCTAACGTGGTCGGCTCTGTTTTTTCCTGTTGATAACTCTGGAAGCAGATGCTGTGTTCTTTCTTTGCAGGAAAGGAAAAAGATGACTTGGGGATGGAGGGACACAGCCTTGTGATCCCCAGACATGGCAGAGGGTGGGCAACTGGGAGGCTTCCCACTGGGAGAGTACCTGCCCACCCACCAGCTCTGCCCCAGTGTGGGGTTGAAGTAGCTGAATCTGCTCAGGGATTGGGCCATTAATTACCAGGAAGGTAATTAAGACCCTTGTTATACAAAAGACCCCTGCCAAGGGCATTCAAAATTGAGTGAGTCTGCTCTAGGAAGTCAACAGTTTAGTGTGAGGAAACAACTTTACTGGAAAATAGAGTTTGTCTTGTGCCAAGAGAGAAGTGGGCAGAGAGAGGTCATCTAGTTGAGGGAAGCATGGAAGTCAAAGAAGCCTGTGTTTACATCTGATTTATTGAATGGGGATGGAGGAAACCCTCTTTACATGATGCGGTGGGGGAGACTGTACTCCTCAAATACTAGACCTTTAAAGGCATCCTAGTCTCACCCTCCATCCATGTTCCTGGCAAGTATTTCAGGTCCTTCCCTTGAAAGGCAATAGAAGATGGAAAAAAGCATTTAGTAGAAACATCTGCAGGGGCCCCTCGGGTCCAGATATAGGGCTGGTTTAGGATCACCCTGCAGCAAGGAGACTTCATACATGAGTAAACCCTAAGCAGAGAGGAAGTGCTTGACAGTCTGTGTCTAGGTGGCAAGGTCACACAGAGGGAGCCAGGCCTGGAGGTCTGGGCTCCATGTAGGGAGGGCAGGTGGCTGGACTTGGCTGGAACAGCCTTGGAGGGGCCTTAGCATATGGATGGAGGTGAGGACAGGGTAAGGTGCAGGAGGAGGGTCAGGCATCACGAGGGAGGAATGTGGGCTCTTCCCTGAGGAGTGTGGCTGCTCTCTGGAGGGGGAGGGAGCAGTGTGCACTGGTAGATGTGCAGAAGAACAGACCAGTAGCTGTCTGCAGGGAAGGAGGGCGCGGAGCATCAGGGAGGGAGTGCATGTGGGGACAGAGTAGCAGCTGAGGAGCAGGAGAGGGATGGAGGAAGTGCTGGAAGGAAAGCAGGAATCAGTGACAGGCAGCATGCCAGGGTTGGAGATGCAGGAGGAGGTGGTGAGGGGAGGTGCCACGCCGAGTGCCTAAGTGGCCAGCAAAGTCACTGGCTGAGAAGAGGAGCAGAGAGCTTGGGGTCACAGCCAGGACAAGCTTGTTCTGTCCTGGACAAGCTGAATTCAAAGTGGTAGATTGGGATGAAGGTCTTGGCTAGAAACAAGGACCTGCATTTCAGGCTATGGCTGGCAGCTGAAACAGGGGGAGTGGCCAGCACCGTCTTCACATAACAGGCCCTTCTGCAAAGCATGCTGTTGATGGAGGTCCCCGGAGACCCTGGGTTAGTGGCCTGCCTCCAGACGCGGACCTCAGTGGTCACAGCGTGAGGATACTGTGTTGCTCCCACCTCTCCTTCAAAGTCATAAACTCTGGGAGTTCTGTTAACTTTATTTTTTTTTTTTAACTTTTTGCAGGTTTCTTTTTGTATGTTTTTGTTATGGTAAAATACATAGGTAATATAAAATTTACTATCTGCACACTTCAAGCATGTTCCCCTTGCTGTACAAATATCACCCCCATCCATCTTTCCCAAACTGGAACTTTGCACTTGCTAAACACCGGCTCCGCGTTGCCCCTCCCACAGCCCCTGGCACCCACCTTTTTGCTCTCTGTCTCTGTAAGTCTGACAACTCTAAGTACCTTAAGTATGTGAAATCATACAGTATTTGTCCTTTATGAACCAATGGCTTATGTCACTCAGCAGGATGTTCTCAAAGATTATCCATGTCATAACATGTGTCCGATTCTCCTTCCTGCCTAAGGATGAGTGCTGTCCCATTGTGTGGCTATGCCACATTTTGTTTGTCCACTCATCCATTGAAGGACGCTTGGGTTACTTCCACCTTTGAGTTTTGTCGTGAATAATGTTACCATGAACTTGGGTGTGCACACATCTGTTCAAGTTCCTGCTTTCAGGCTCAGTGCCTGTAGCTCAAGTGGCTAAGGTGCCAGCCATCATATACCAGAGCTGGCAAGTTTGAACCCAGACCAGGCCTGCCAAGCAACAATGACAACTACAACCAAAAAATAGCCAGGCATTATGGTGGGCACCTGTAGTCCCAGCTACTCAGGAGGCTGAGGCACAAAAATCCCTTAAGCCCAAGAATTTGAGGATGCTGTGAGCTGTGACGCCATGGCACTCTGCCGAGGGCGACAAAGTGAGACTGTGTCTCAAAAAGAAAAAAATGTTCCTACTTTCAATTGTTTTGGATCTATACCTAGAAATGAAATTGCTTTGGTTTACCGTTTACTGGTGCTTGGCCCTGGCTCCCCAGAGGTATTTCCATGTTCTTCATTTGCACAAACCCAAGTCTGCTTGGCAGCTGCTTAATGACAGGCCCCAGCATTCACATCTGTGCAGAGGAAGCCCCCGAGAAGGCTGGGGCTGGCTCTGTACCATACTCTTTCATCTGCAGATTTTTACATCTCATTTTAAAAAATTATCCAGGGCACAAGTGCAAGGAATAAACATTTATTACAACAACTAAGGTAGTAATAAAGCAAAGCTTCCAGTTTTGATATTTGCTGTCCTGACTTATCACCGGGCAGAGAGGGGTAGGAATGGTACATGGAGATGTCCTTATCTTCCCCCACCTCTAATGTGCTGTAAGGACTAAAGGACAGGGGCTCAAGAGTTCCCTTCCTTGATCCCACTGCTTGGGCACATCTGGGGCCAACCAGGAGCAGTCTAGCTTTAGGTGTTAACTAAGGAGGCACACCCCACCAGGGCAACCTGCGGCATGAAGGGCGCAGTGCCATGACACTCAGCTTTTCCATTGTCTGTACTTGGGGTTTCAGGGTCTGTCTAATCAGGACCAGAAAGCACATGAGAGCAGAGTCCCCAGGCCCCTTGCACAAGTGGGCCCGCACCACCCTGCAGCAGCCCTTTCTTGCCGCTCCAGAGGCAAGTTCTGCTCAGACATGATGTCTTGTTTGAAATGAGACCATTCCTCACCACCACCTCCCATTTCCAATCCCTCAAATCCTAGTATAGGAAATCCAAAGTATTTTCTCCTGCCTGAGGCTGTTTTTTAAAAGGGATTTTGGTTAGTAAGTGAGATAACCTTTAAGCCAGGAGGAAGGGGAAGGATTGTGGCTGGGACTGGGAGCCCTGTTATTAGATGAGCCCCACCCCTCGCCCCCAGCTCGGGAGCAGCAAGCAGGAACATGATGCCATCTGCCCCCTCTAGAGCATGTTTCTGTGGGGTGGAAGTGACTCTGTCTCTTTAACCCCTCTGGACTTGGAAAGAAACCCACCAGAGTGCGTTGCTGCCTTCTTTCCAACACATTTCTCTGCAGGACGTGGGAAATAACCTCCCTGGTGCCAGTGGCACCCTCCCATTTCAGTCTCTGTGGCAGGAGCCCAGCTTGCCCAAGCAGACCACTCTGGCTCCCGGGAGGAACTGGAGCAGGCCTCTGTTCCCAACACAGACCAGGGGCTGTAGCACCTCAGAGGACTGACACCACACCCCAAACTGGGAGATACTAGGATAAACACAAACCTGTACACTGTTGGAATAAAATGGAGTTCAGAAATTAACGATCACATATGATCAAATGGTTTCTAATGAGATTGTCAAGAGCATTCACTAGAGAAGTGGCATTCTTCAAGAACTGACCAGGAGCAGTGGCTCATGCCTATAATCCAACCACTTTTGGAGGCTAGGGCAGGAGGATTGTCTGAGTCTGGGGGTTCAAGACCAGCCTGAGTAATATAGTAAGATCTTGTCTCTAAAAAAATTTTTTTAAAGATCAGCTAGCCATAACAGGAGGCTGAGGCAGGAGGATTCCTGGACCTCAGGGGTTAGAGGCTGCAGTGACACTCCTGGCATTCTAGCCCAGGCAACAGAGGGAGAAATACCTTGTCTCAAAAGAAAAATAAAAAAAGGTGCTGGGATATACTTATGTGGAAAAGAACTTAGAATAATAAATTTGCAGACACGAAAAGTAGAATGGTGGCTGCCAGAGACTATGGTAGAGGGGAATAGAGAATTGTTTAGTGGGTGCAGAGTTTGAGTTTTGCAAGATGAATGTTTTGGAGATAGTGGTGATGTTGTATGTCAGTATGACTATATGTGGTGTTACTAACTTGTATGCTGAAAAATGTGTAAAATGGTGAACTTCTATTATATATTATTGTACCACATTTTTTATTTTTTTCCTTTTTTATTTCAGATTAATATGAGGGTCCAAATGTTTATGTTACATTGTTTTCAGTTCTAAGGTAAAGTTCAAGTTCAAGTTGTAGTTGAACCCTTCACCCATGGGGCATGCTGAACACCCTCACGTTGTGCACATTGGGTGAGAGCCTGCCAGTTGCCCTCCTTTCTCCTCCCACCCCCTTGCTAGACTATACTTGTGTTTTTTCTTTTTTGTGGGCATGTAGTTGTTTACATATTGGTTTCATATTAGTATCGAGTACATTGGATGCTTTTTTTTCCCCATTCTTGAGATGCTTTACTAAGAAGAATGTGTTTCAGCTCCATCCAGGTAAACACAAAAGACGTAAACTCTCCATCGTTCCTTTTTTCTTTTCTTTTTTATTTTTTGTTTTGTCCTTTCCATCTTTTCTTATGGCTGAGTAGTACTCCATGGCATACGTATCCTGCAGTTTGTTAATCCATTCATGGGTTGATGGGCACTTGGGTTGCTTCTACCTCTTGGCAATTGTGAATTGAGCTGCAACAAACATTCTAGTGCAAATGTCCTTGTTATAAAATGATTTTTGTTCTTCTGAGCAGATACCTAGTAAGGGGATTGTGGGATCAAATGGAAGGTCAACTTTTAGTTCTTTGAGAACTCTCCACACTACTTTCCATA